AGAAAAAAAAAAAAGGAGAGAGGACATGCATCTACCACCAGTACCCTCTTTTCACCTTTACAACAGAGATCTCCTCCCACCAATGTTTGTGCTTCTTCTCCTTCCTAGCTTATTAAGCCATTAACATTTCAGAAAGCATTGGCGCACACACATTTATTCCTTGCTGTCTGGTGCTCTGTATGTATCAGGGGCAACACTTTACAGGGTGGTTACGTGCTTCTTTGGTTAGCAGGGGTGGACAAAATGGTGGATCTGGTGGGCATTTGGACTTCATTTCCCAGCAGCCCCTGCCTGCATCACTGCAGCCAGTTTCCATGGAGACCCCGGCAGCAGCAGCAGCATGGTGACAGTACATGGCCAGGGTTTCCATGGAGACTGGCCCCAGCAGCGCTAGCAGGGTGGGGAGCTGCTCTGCGGCCATGGCTGGGATCTTGCAATGGTGACAGTGTGGTCTGGAGTTGAGACAGGGCCGGATTGCACTTCTGCCCTGGCTTTGGACCATGCAGTCACCACTGCAAGATCTCAGCCCTGGAGCTGCTCACTGCCTGCCACAGCGACCCAGGCAGGTGCTGCTGGGAAACGGAGTCCTCTGCAGGCCTGATCCGGCCTGCAGGCCCGATTTTGCCAGCCCTTGTTATAGAGTCTTGGCTGTACACTGGTCCAAGCTGTCACTACAACCTTGGGCCGTGCTCCCAAGTCCTGCTTTAGTCCTGTCCCTAACTACCTACTTCTGCAACCCAGACTTCCAGTCCTATGCAGGGATGACATACACCTTAACTTCGGTTGGCACCTTAACTTTATATTTTCTGCATTTTCAGAGCTTTACATTTCTGTTACTTTCAAGTCACTCCTACTCCCTCCAACTTTCAAGTCACTCCTACTCACTAGCACAGACCACTCTGTCTTTCTTCACATAAACATTACCATCTGCTTGGTGCCTGAATGTTTAGTCCATGCTAATACACAAAGTTTAAGCTCCTTCTTAAATAACTATTTCTATATTGTTTCCCCAAAGGGGCTGCATTCAGAAGGCAGACTAAATCTGAATGACTGAGGTCAATTTGGGGATGAGCAGAACCTTGGTTTAAGCCCAAATTCTGCACAGAATAACATTGTGGGTATTTGGGGACTTTCTGAAGCAGCGTGATATTTTTCAGGGCACTGTATCTCACTCAAATTACTCCAAATTTTGTTCAATAAACCAATTCTGCACCACTATGAAACATGTCACATTTGAAGACAGACCTGTAATATAGGGAAGTTGTATTCAGCTTCTAGTATTGGGATGACTAGAAGCTGAATACAACTTCAGAATATCTGGGTACATTCCCTTTACTGGGGTGTCGGATACCCGGTCCAGGGGCCAAATCTCATTGTGGAACCATTTTACCTGACCTGCAGTGTTCCCAGATAAGCTGGGAATTTAGAGGCAGGTCAAGTAGGGGCAGGGCCCACCACTGAATTTGCAGCTATTGAGCCTCACTGGGCATTGGCACATATGTGGGTAGTGGTGGGGATGAATGAGTGCTGCATTACTCTTTGTGCCAACACTGGCCCCATGCCACCCTCAGTCACCCTGCCATTGCCATCAGATCCGGAGCTGACCCCCAAAGCTCCTTGCTGTCCAGAATTGGCCTGGGAGTGACAGTGAGTTTGACACCACTATCCTGTATGCATATTAGGAACTGCAGGCCAGAAAAACTCATCTGAGGTTTGATGTGGGCTGCTGCTGCCACTTTTCCCCATGCCCCAGCTGTTAGTCTCCTTGACAGGTGCCCCACCATTTGGTCACCATCTTGGGAGTGGAAGTCCTGCCCCTAACCCTTGACCTTTGCCACCAGATGTCATCCCCCCTTACCCCCAGAAGTACTCCTTTTGGGAGGGGGGGTTTGCCGTCTTGGAACCGGAATAAAAATCAAACATCTACTATAACATATTTTAATTTTGTTTCAAAAAATATTTTTGTCCTGATTTGTGTATGCTTGTGTAGTGTATATAGAGACGATTGCATAATAGCTCAAACTGGTATCTTACTCTTGTACATGGTGATGGGCTGTGGGAGGGGGTGGATGGGTGGGGAGAGTATGGGGTTTGTGGGGGGTTGTGGGTGTGTGTATGTGCGGTGTAGATGTGTTTGTGGGGGTGTGTGGGTAGGTGGGGGTGGATGAATAGGTGTGGAGAGGAGGGCACGGGGTGTGTTGGCAGGATGTGGGGGGGGTGTGCGCGCGTAGGTATGGGGTGAATGGGGTGTGTGGCTAGTGGGTGTGGGGTGTGCATGGGGGGTGTTGGATTCCATAGATTTCATGGATTTTATAGACATTAGGGCTGGAAGGGACCTTGGAAGATCATCGAGTCCAGCCCCCTGCCCAAAGGGCAGGAAGTCAGCTGGGGTCATAGGATCCCAGCAAGATAACCATCCAATTTGCTCTTGAAGGTGTTCAATGTAGGTGCTTGAACCACCTCCGATGGCAGGCTGTTCCAGACCTTGGGGGCTTGGACAGTAAAGAAGTTCTTCCTTATGTCCAGCCTGATATGGTCATG